TTTATACAGTGGAATAACTGTTGCTATTGTCATATTATTGGGGAACTGCCTAAGTCGAAGCGACATGTTAAACATATGGGTTAATGGTTTGCATATCCCCTCAATTACCCATTTAACAGTTGTCATAGTGATGCCATCACTATCACTAGATGTTTTGTTACCACATTTATTCACTATCTCTATAATTTCCTTTTCAACTATGGGCTTCAAAAACATAGAACTCATGTTCCTTTCGATTGTATTATTATTATTTATAGTGACGGATGTATCATCTGTACAAATGCTTCTTGCTAAACCAGGACCAACATTCACAAAGAACCTATTAAACTTATCTACTACATCCTCCAATCTATTAACCGGTGTATCATTATCCATAAAATATTGAGGGTAGTTACTCTTGCTGGAACTGTTTCTAATCAATTTATTTAATATATTCCAAGTACCTCTCATGTTATTTTTATTATCCTCTAATACTTTAGAGTAATATAGTTTCTTACATCTCCTCAAAATCTCAATTAATTTGTTCTTATATGACTTATATTTTTCTTCCGCCTTCTTTGATCTGTCCTTTATGAATTCCTTATATAACGCATTCTTCTTTTTACATGCATTCTGTAATCCCTTACTCATCCACGGTTTCCCACTGTAATTCCTTTTGTTTTTATACTGCTTACGAGGACAGTTCCTGTCATATACTTCCTTAAATATATTTTAAAATTGTTCATATGCTTTGTCTAAGTCTTCCTCTCTGTAAATTGCTTTCCAGTCCTGCCCCGCTAAGTCCTTCTTAAGCCTCCTTACAGCTTGTTCATTAATTACCCTCCTATAGAACAGATTTGTTTTTGGCCTCTCTTTTCTAAAATGGCAGTCATAAACCAAAAATACAGGTAAATGATCACTAATATCATTTATAAGTAATCCACTTGTCATTTTGCTGTCAATAACATTGGTAAATATATTATCTATTAGTGTTGCATGCTGGTTTGTTAATCTACTTGGTTTTGTAATTTTTGGGTATAAACTGCATCTATGTAATGTGTTAATAAACTCCTCCGTTCCTGTGTGCTTGTTAGGATTTAACAAATCTATATTGAAGTCACCACATATGAACATTAATTTATGACTTATTGTCAAATAGTTCTCCTCCATCCAGTCATTAAATTTTTCTATGCTGGCTCCAGGTGCTCTATAAATACAGCTTACTACAACCTTTTTCTTTTTTTCCACAAATATTTCTACAGTCACACACTTGCTTTTATTAGCATCCACACGCATTTTCAACAGGAAATGCATTTCTCTAGTTATATTAGTAAAATTTTTGTTATACTGTTTTGGCCTGCTTTTAATCTTTTGCTGGGTTTCATGTTCAGTTTTCCATCTTGTAACATCAAACCTCTGGAAGGTAGGTCTACCAGTGCGTGAAAGGCTGAAGGTTAAATAACAGTTTGAGCGGTGGGGGTGGAGGGAAGGCAAGTCAAAACATTTTGTAACTTCATCCAAGAATTAAGATATTTTCACCCTATTGCCCAAAGAAGCATCAAATAGCTACAATATCACACACCCCTGCAGGGGATCAAAGCCTACCTCATGACAGCAGTGCACAGACTGACTTTACCTGCTTTCAGAAATGCCTGTAAGATGCTGATCAGGACATGTGCAGCCTATGTATTATTCATCATAGCTCATAAGCTGCTTTCATATGTTTTGTGTACCCATGTGTAAACTAATTATTGTACAAGGATTTTAGTGATTCTCAACGACTGCGTATCTCCGCTCTGCAGCAAAATTATTCGCATATTCAAACACAAACGATGTCTCCCTCCAGCCAAAGTAAACCAGACAACAAGCTACAACTTAAGCTTAATCAAAACAAGCCGTCCTCCGTGCTGCACAAGATGGTCTCTATGTCCAGCAGGCTGAGACAAGTGTGCATGGACCATCTCCAGCCCATTCTGATGAAAATTTGGCTGTAGCTTGTAGTCTACCCAACTACGTTTGTAAAATGCATCATGTGTGTTTTAACATTTCACTTATGACTTTTTGATCAAAGAACTTAGAATCTTTCCAACTTGACCAAAATCTCGGCAGTATCTGTTATCATTGACCCCACACACCTCAGAAGACACTTTAATTCACAACCTGGAGTGGGCTACCTACATCTGTACATACCATCTGCCAGTACCCGTTTATATAAATTTGTAAACGTTCCCACCCCTACTAGAAACACAGGTAGGCTATGGTGGCCTAGCTTGTGTGTCAGTTTCTCCTGTTGCAATCCTGACTACCAGATGCACAATCAGTGCACACACAAACGCACAGTGGCAGAAGGTCAAACTAAATAAACCCTATGTCCAACTTCTCCATGTGGGGAGCAGCACAGTGGCAAAGGTCAGTCGAATGCCAGGGATCAAATTCTCAAACAAAAACACTCCTTCCATCCGCTGTCACACTTGAGTTCTCCCACCACACAGAAACTGGGCTATACAGGACCTTTTATCGCAACTACACAATATTTGCACTTTTCCAGAACCCACTGTGATGTCGAGCAGTTCGGTATGCTGCTTGTACATTACAAATATAAGGATTTACTGTACCCTGTGAAAGTGGGCCAGCACCATATATGTTTGGTTACCTTAGCAGCAGGTTTTTCAGTGGGCCTCTACTGAGCTATAATACATGCTGAGGCCCAACAGGGTGCACTTATACATGTCAAAACATCATCTATGTATCTGAGTGCAACCCTGTGAGATATCTGTGATGAGTCTGGCCTGTATGTATTTTCTAATTGGAGTGAAAACTAAATGCTTCCAATGCTGCTGTGTACTGATAGCTGGTGTCCAAGAGGTTTGACCCAGTTTCATTACAGTTCACACATTCTAAATTTAAGAATTATCATTATGGAATTTTTTTACCACACTGCCTACCATTTATTACTATTTTCTAACATTTCATGGCCCAAACAAATAAATGCTCTGCATAAATCACTTGGTATGCACACGCGTATTCCCACCAACCTTTAATGGGCTGCTTCACTTCTCCATTCTCCCTCTTGATCTCGTTCATCACTTTGTGCTTCTCCTTTTCTCTCTCTCGGTCTATCACTTTCTTCTTCTCCCTCTCCTCTCTGTAGCTCTCTTTTGCCTTGTTGGAATGCTCTGTGCAAGCAGAGAGGCAGGTTTTAGGTCTCAGTGAGAAAAACACATTAGCGTTCAGTTTTTCCTCACAAATGCACTTCACTTCAATTTACTTCCCTAACCTCTTAAGTGAACCTTTGCCATGTGCTTCACCTTGACCATCAGCCTCAACTGTTCTTTAATCTTGCTGGTCCTTTTGGCTTTCCCTTCCCAACACAGCCTCATGTCATGTTTCCTTAGCAGTGTAATGACCTTCCAATTCCCTTTAACACTGCAGCAGTCTCTGCAACTTCACTCATAACCTCTCATCAAACTACACCTTACACTTCTACCCCCAAACCCCCCTCTCCCATTTTCTGCCTGTACTAGTTTCAGTATGCTCTGGTCTTAACAATGCTAAAATGCTTTCATGCTTTTTGACTCATTTTATTTCCTCTTCCAGTGTTTCTCCAATGTTGCAAGAATCGTTCAAGTCAAAGTACTGGAGAACACCCAAATGCAACACTTACTACAAATCACTGTTTATGAGAGTGTCATTTTAAAATGTAAATATACAGTCACACACATCTATTCAGTTTCTGGAGTGCTTTCCAAAAGGCAAGGCAGGTCCAACTGTGTGTGCACTGACAATCATTTATTCTGTAGATCAGCATCTCTCATCTGCAGCTGAGCTCAGACAAACCTCGTATTTCTTACAATAACTTTCATTGTATCTACGGAGGTATGGGCCATGTTCGCCATCGGTCCGCTCCCCTCCCAAGATGAATGGACAAGCTAGCCATGCTGGCAGAGCTGCAACGAGGGTACGGAAAGAGCGGCCCTCCATGCTTCATCGAGAGTCCTGGATCTGTGGTCTGTGGTGACGGTTCTTCACAAATCCCCAGGCCGGCTCTGCTGCACGCAAAACACGGTGGCTCGGCAGCGGAGACAATACTGGCAGGCCCAAATCCCCATCTCGAGGACATTAAACACCCCTCGCCCCGCCCCGCCACCCTTCCACACAAAGAGCAATAAAACTCTGGATCTACTGTAGTGCTAATGCCTGTTGTTTAGTCTCTACTGCTGTTCCTGATTCTCTCCAGTGCCGCTTTGCCCTGTTTTTAGGTGCCTTTGATTTGCTTATTTGTGCTGTGTAAAAAGTAATGTTCCGATGACGCTACTTTCATAATCCTTGTGTGTATGGGTTTTAATGCTTTGTTGCCTTTATGTAACTTTTTATTTTAAAACCAAGTGTTCTTTGTTACTACGTACTTACGTACGCATGCGCAGAGTGGCAGCAAGTTACATCAGTTGTGTCCTTGTGTTCTTTTCCTTGTTTTTATGAAGTTCTGTTCTTATGGTGGGGTCTGTGCTTATGGTGTTATGATTGTTCTCTATTGCTGCTGTAACACAAAAATTTCCCCACTGTGGGATCAATAAAGTACCTACTCTTCTCTACTCTATCTAATCTTTTATTCCTTGCCTCCTTTCATAATTTCTCAAAGACATTTTAAAAACCCTGTTTTCCACAGTAGCCCCACAGTAGGCAAATTTTTTTTTCTTTTTCCTTTCCAAAGAACTTTTTTCTTTGAACTCTGTCAGATCCATTTTGAAAAGGAAGCTGTTCACTCTCGTGTGGACGTGGGGAGTGAGAAAGTGAACACAGCTGGGTTGGACTCGCTGTTTGCAGGATCAAAGGACAAAATGCTTTGAAAGTAAAAAAAAAAAAAAAAAGCGGTAGAGTGGTAGAAGAATTAGAGTTACATAGACTCTTTTAAGTAGCAGTACTTATATAAACACTTATGCATTTGAATTTTAGCTGACTTTTTCTTCACAACATGCAGGTAGTTGTCCCTCTCATACTAGATCCTGTCAGTTAATAGGAAAAATGACCAGAATGTTGATAAACTATTTTAAGTACTATGTAAACTAAATTCTGTAAAATGATGAAACAGTGTGAGCTGGCTGGTGGGGGGCAAAACAGGATTCAAAACATCCATTTAGCTTTACAGGAAGCTGCCGATGCAGGATTAACTCAGATCTATTGCCAGATTATTAAAGTCATGTCAGACCATGCCACGGCTGGTCAATGTCAAGTTGCACAATTTTTAAAAAAACTGCAAGGAATTGACTGCAAAATACTGGTATTGCATCAAAGTGTTTTCCTTCCACCCAGATCTCCCCATCCCCCGTTAAACACTGTTTCCCTTAGCACCCCTATCAGTGATCAGGGCTAGGATAAGGTTAGGACACTAAGTTTCTAAGGGGAAACTCGACAAGGGAACACAATTCAACACAATACTGACAAAAATGGCTTGCAAAGCCTTCGTCTGGGACTGGGAGGAGAGTGGGCTTATGCTCCACTGTGCAGTGACCACTTATGTAACTGGCTAACTGCTGCCCTGCTATAAAATTGCAATGATCCACAGTGACTGTCTATATATTAAAATATATTTTAATATACATGTTCCTTAAATACAAGTTCAGAGAGCAACCGCCACTAATGGTTCACCCCCATTCCTCAGAAACCCCCCTCTAAGCACAGCAACTTGACTCCTTCATTTAGGTAGGCAAAATGCATAACTGATATTTAATTATTCACAGTAATATCCATGAACTTCTAGGTCCAAACTTGACAAAATATGTATTTCTAGGAATGTTAAAGTTAACCAGAAGTTATTTTAAAGTAGGAATTTGAAAACTATGTTAATAAACATTTTTGTGGAAAATAACTAACGTTAGGCTCCATTGGGCCAGTTAGCAACACTAACTGACGACAAAAGCTAGCTGATCAAACTGAAGTACTGAAATCATTTTGGTGCCATCGTGACTGATGCCGTTTGCTCTTCACCTCACGAGTCTTTCGTGTCAGTTTCAGTATTATTGCTGGCAAAGTCAAGGCAGTTATTCCCCGAGAACTTAGTCAGGATGTGTTTGTGATTATTTAAATTTTTTTTTAAATAATAATAAACCTTTGTTCTGCTTTCTTCTGCTTATGGTTGGTCCTCTGAAGTGAATCATGGGAAACATAGTTTTGCAACAAAGTGTAATGGCAAATAGCCTACACAAATGAGAATGACACACGCAGTCTCACTTATGACTATTAGGCAGCAGGCCACCAGGAGATTGTGTATTTAAACAATCCCTAACAAGGGAGAACCCATTTTTTTGCTAGTAACCTATACAGTAAAGTTGTTGCCACTTGTACCTCTTGCACATTTTTGAATACCGACAACTTGGTTGATGGTACTTTTTCCGGGTAGAGAGAGCAGGCAGCTGTGTCGAGTCTGATGTGCGTGACATATTTGTACTTATCAGAGTATTTGGAAAACTGCAGGCGTAAATACCAGGGCACAAACAACAAGCATACATATTTTCAAATCCTATTAAAGGACTCTCTTAAATAAGTGATTTACTCAACTCCAAAAGCCTGCTTTCTAGGTATCTCTGAGATTAAAATTTACTCACGTCTACATTCTAGTGGATTTTATCAAAGCTTTATGTTCTTTTAAAAAGGTAAACATTTTTATACAAATATTTGCAAGGTTTACAGGAGCGTATACATTGGCATTACTGTTATTGTTGTTACAAATAATTATTGCATATGGGAAATCTTTGCATAAAGTACATTAATTAAAACCCTTTCTGAAGACTTGCCATGACGTGCGTTTGCTTTCCGTTTCCTCATTATTCAACAAGACATCTCAATGAGAAGAACTGAAAATTATAGAAAATTTATTGCATACATGTTCTGTTTACATTACCTCTGAAAATATTCAACAGTAAAAAAAGCCTAAGTGGACCTGGTGATTTGTGAATGTTTCAGTATTTTAAAATGTAAACCTCTTTTCCATTAGGATTCTAAAAAAAAAAAAAAAGTTTAGCTTAGCAAAATAAACTTAAGACTGGGGTACATTTGGTTCTGACACAAATGGGAGACATGTTTAGTCCTCAGGTCTGTGGTTAGTCGCTGACATGGTGGCTTGATGGGATCTTGGTTTTCTCACAAAAACCACAGATTTTGTGCTCTTTAACCTCCCTGTTCCAACACCATCTGTTGAAGTAACATTACAATCTCCTCCCTCAGTTCTGGATTCAAGATGTCCTTGACCTGTAGAGCCAGCATAAAGGGGGGAGTTGCAGATAAGCTACACTGAAAGAAATCTATTTTAAACACTATAAAATCTTATGGATCCCGGTTAACAATAATTAAACAAGAGCTTTATTAACAAAATACAAATGAATCAGTAGAATAACACATGGTGCAGATTTATTCTCACATTTGTGAAAGCACTAGTTCCTTCACAGATCTTACTATTAGTACTACTATTACTATAATGCACAAAAAAATTATCAAAATGTACACAGAAATATGGTGAGCTAAAACACAAACCAAGTGTTGCATATTTGCAGGTTACTTACATATTGTACTCTAAGCTTCATTGTTTTTAAACACTGATCAGCCATAATATCTGACAACTGACAGGTTACCTGAATAATGCTAATTATCTCATTACAATGACACCTGTCAACATGTGGGGTATATTAGGCAGAAGTGAACATTCAGTCCTTAAAGCTGTGTTGGAAACAAGAAAAATGAGCAAGCCAATGATCTGAGTGACTTTGACAAGGGCTATGTCCAGATCAGAGCTTCTCAAAAAAATGCAAGTCTTATTGGGTGTACCCAGTCTACAGTGGCTAGCACCAAAAGTGGTCTAAAGTAGGACAAACAGTAAACTGGTAACATCTAAATTTCTTTGATCCTTTTCAAGAAATTCCATTTTGTTTCTATGTTAAATGGCTGAAAATGAGAAATACTGTACATTTGGCTCTATGAAGAGAAATATTAGTTGGCTAGAGTGGTAATATCACACCTGAAGTGGGGAGACTATTGAAATTCATCTAAAATATTCTCCAACTTGTCCTCATGTGCACAGTTTTCACTCTTTTTACACAGGTTTTTCACTGAATGGTAGACACATTTGTGCTCTTCCTGACAGTCCAACTGTGGAAACCAACAGATTCACAGAAGATGCATACACAACCAACTGACATATTGATTCCCATGTACACAGCATTGGGCAGGTGGCCATAATGTTATGGCTGATCGGTGTATAATAACTAATGAGTCTATAAAACAAACAAACAAACAAACAAAAAAACTTTACTTTGTGCATCCTGTACACACGTCCAAACTGGTGTAGAAGCCCCCATCCTCCTCTTATTGTTTTGGTGTGAGATAAAACCACACAAAATGATTATTTCCAAAGATGATGGATGGATGTCGTCTGCCTCTTCATCAGGGAAGAAGAAAGTTGCACCAACACTCCTTGACCAAACTGATGATTAAAAAAGTAAAACAAGACATTAGGTCAAATTATTTAAGATGAAAAATAGTTAAACGTATTTAGTATTATTTACAGCAAAATTTTGTAATGCAAAAATTTTATGGCACATATAGTGGCGCTAAATTAACGTGGGATTTCATAGACGTATTTCATTACACTGTTTAAATTTACCTGGATAAGGTAACCACACGTGGTTGCGTTTTGTTGTTGTTGTTATTTTAGATTCCTTTTAGCTGTTAGTTCTCTCCAGCTATTTACTCAAAGGTCAAATCTATACATTAACATAAGGCGTGTTCTTGGTTTAGGGGACGATTGAGTGATATTGGCAAGCGGCCACTTTAGCACGTCTAACTTAAACCATTCAGGTTGTTTCTGCTCCATGTAAGATGAATGACGTTATTGTGAGAAAACTAGCTAATGTATGCATGCACTAGCCATACGTGCAACTGCGACTTAACTTCACCTGCAGAGTGCATGATGCTAGCTAGCAAGCGCTATTTGTAAGAACTACTGCTAGTTACCTTTACACTTCAAAACGTCGCCATACGTTTGAGCAAAATGTATAAACAAACAAGCATTTTACAATAACATTAATACTTACCCTCACAGGGCCAAGCTGCTGCTGCTACCATGGATGTGTGGTAAACATCTGTGCTCAATATAGCTAAATCTGAAAACAGATACGCGGCCTCGGCCCAACGCCTACGTAGAGACAGACTAAACTAGGTTTTATAGCCACTAAACTCGACATAAACATTTTCCCGTGCGAAAACATTGGAATTCGTGCAACCCTCAAGAATCCTAGTGGATCTTGTACAACGTTTAAGGGCGCATTTTAAACAGTAACTATTCCAAAAGCAGGACTGTCCAGACATATTAGAAGGCAGACAACTGCAAACACATTGGCCACATGTTCATGTCCCAGGTGGCTGAATCTACAATGGGCCTAGTAAGTGTAAAAAGGCAAAACTCTTGTTATAATAAACAAGTACAACTTCACGAATCATTAAAGTAACAAATTCAACCCAAGAAAAACACACTATGGTGGCCTACCTTTGGGTGGCAACATAACCTCTCCATTTTCCCTCTTCACTGCAGAAATGTTGTTAAACCTGCTGATATTGTTGTTGTTGTTACTAGCGTTAATGTTACTCTCGGAGCCGAAGGTCACCAACAGTTTTTGTTTCTTTTCCTCTTCTCCGCATCCTTTCCCCTTCTCCCTCTCTCGCTGCTCATCTTTACTCTGTTTACTGGGTTTGGAGGAGGAAGGCGCTTTGTGGAGGAAGAAATCGCTCTGTTTGAAGACTTTGTGTGTGTTTGTCGGTGGCTGCAAACCACCGGTAGGAAGAACCGGAGGATTGCTGCTGCTCGTTTTAACCTGGCTTAAGCTCCACAAACCCGTGCTGCTGCCATAACTCTGCTGCTTCGTGGGCTGCTGGAGTTTCTCTTTGCCGCCACCGTTGCCTCCCACTCCGCCTTCCCTGTTGAGTTTCTTGGGTTTAACGCTCCTCTCCTCGACTCGGACCTTCTTGGGCGGCGGCTGGGTGAAATTTCGGGAAGTCTGAGAATGGCAGTCAGGTGCTCCCTTCGCCTCGGTCTGCTTAATGAGCGGGCTTTTGGTAGAGGTGAGCGGCGAGGGTACCGCAGTAGCAGCATTTCCACTGAGGTGAACGGAGCCCTGCGAGTCAGCCATCTTAACTCTTCTCCCTCTCTATTTACTCTCTTCCTGAACGACTGCCGCTGCTATTTTTTTTTTTTTTGTGCGACGTGCAGCCAGGCGCTGAGGGGGCGGGGCAGACATTTGACTGACAGATGGGCACAGAGGCGGGATTAAGGCTTGATTGACAGGTAGACAAACTAGTGGCGGTGATTAGGATCTGAGTGTAGCCTACTGTTAATGGATTTCGTGAAATAACGAGTAAAAAAGACAAAGAAAACTTACGTCAGTATATAGGACTGGATTACCAACCTAGCAAAGCTTCGGGTATACTCCATATCATATCTCAATAATTTCATTAATTCCAGTTTTTTCACAAATTTGCACCACAGACATGCGTTTGTTTTGGATATTCTTGTGCTTATTTTGCATCTTTGTGGCTGTTTTGAATTTGTTTTTACTCATTTTGCATCCACTTATCGTTGATTGGCTTTCTATAAAGAAATGTTAATGGTCACTTCATACAGACTCCATAGGCCTCTCAGTTATCCACCCATGAATGAAGAACACCAAGTCTGATGTGTCCTCCAGCATTCTTAGCCCTGGTCCTGTAGATGGACTTGGTCTCAAAATCTTGTTTTAACATGTTAAACGTTTTAGTTCATTTTGTACTAACTTTCTGAAAAAATATTTGTTTTTTCTGCTTCAAATAGACTAAATAAAATACAGACAACCTTTAGAAAGGCAGTGTTATTCTATCATAGAACCTGTAAATTATTTCTTTAATAATTGATTGGTTCTTTACTGTATAAAATACTAAAACATATGCACCACAACATCCCAGAGTCCAAGGTGATAGAGCAGATTTCTTGTTTTGCCTAAGCAACAATCTAAAACAAAAACAAAAAAGTCTACATTTATATAAAATAAGGGGGAAATTTTAAATTGGTTGAGGAGATGGGATGTGTGTTTGTTGAAATTGAAAGGTTCCCATCAACAGGATAAACTTGCCATCTTTCACATAATCATCACAAGAGGATGAGCTTATCACTCTCACACACAGATCACATCCTCCAGCTATATTTACTAAGTTGAAAACATTTTCATCACTCAGACTGATTGGCGGAGCTCTCAGTTCAAGGCCTATCAGTGTGTCACAGCCAGCCCTGACTACCAAACATGATTAGTGGCTGCACGAGGTGAGTTGTATAGTTACAAGTGACTGTACACACTGTGTCAAGATTATTGTATGATGCAATACAGAAACAAAAGTCCGATGTTTGTGTGTGTAGTAACACTGGAGAACACCATGTGTGTTTAAGTGTGTATTGAGCAAGTAACTCCTCTAGAATCTACTGTATAAAACAATATACCTAAAATGAATCTGCTCAAATACAATGTATGCTTCAGGCTTTCAAACAAAGCTGTCACAGGTTTCATTTTCCTCAAACAGTAGTGCAGTATGCTGCTACTGCACACAGACTGGCCTATTTATAAGCCATTACATAAGGTTAAACTGCTCCATGGGAAAACTGAGCCAACCCAGTGAAGACAGCAACCTGGCTTAATTTATAGTACACACAGAGTACACACTATAAAGAGTACACACAGGGGGAAAGTTAAAAAGGGGGGGCTTTAATATGCAATATACAGTTGCAAAACACCTCTGTCCGCAATAAATTCAAGCAAGCGCTTCCTGCAGCTGTGGATTAGACCTGCACAATATTCAGGAGGAATTGTGGACCATTCATCCTGACAGAGCTGCTTAAGCACAGCCACTGTCTTAGGACGTCTGTATGAACAGCTCTCTTGAGGTCATTCCACAACATCTCTGTTGGATTGGGGTCCTGGCTCTGACTGGGCCACTCCAAAAGGATTTTGTGCCTCCAAAGCCATTGTGTAGTAGATTTACTTCTATGTTTATGGTTATTGTCCTGCTGCATCAACCAGCTTCTTCTGAGCTTCAGCTTGCGGACAGCCACCCTGACATCCTGTAGGATACCTTGACAAATTTGGGAATTCATTTTCCCCTCCACAATAACAAGCAGTCAAAGTCCAGAGGCAGCAAAGCAGCCCCAAATCATGATTCTCTCTCCACCGTACTTCACTGTTAGGTTGATATTTTCAGGTTGGTATGCATTTCTCTTTTTACACAATATGTTGTGCTGTGTGTTGTTCCCAAACAATTATACCTTTTTTTTTTTTATTGAAACAAAGTAACACATTAACAAAACAAGTCCGGACATGGGAGACAAGACAACGAATATATGACATTACAAAAAGAAGTGTTTTACAAGATTGTGGTGTGTGAGGCTGTGAAGTGTGTGTATTTCCAACTTATGCAGTCTATGAAAGGCAAGAAAGGGAGGAGAGAAAGAAAAACAAAATCACAACAACGATAAGATACTACCAATAAAAACAGCTTGTTACATTTTTAGAGGTTGGTGGGAATGTGTGTGGCCTCAGCCCCAGGTGTTTGGTTCAAGTTGAAATGTGTTAGAAATGGGTTCCACGTGTCATAAAAAAGCTGATAAACTTTTCTTGTGAGTGGATGCCATTTTCTCTAATGTGATGTATTCTATCAGAAGGTTGGTCCAGTGGTTTATGTATAGAGATTTTTTTGATTTCCAGTTTTGAAAGATTGTTTTCTTGGCAATAGCTAGAAAAATGAGGAGTGGGTTTTTGTATTTAATTGGTCAACGTCTGTGATATTACGGCGCAAGCAAAGTGATGGAGAAGGAGGGATTTTACAGCCCAAGATGGTGGAGAGTTTCTCTGTCATTGCTATCCAGAGGGAATAAACTGGTTGGCAGGTCCCAGTAGCATGAAAATAATTGTCGGTGCAACCTAGAGTGCATTGTGAGCAGATGTCTATGTCAGTAAAACCTATTTTGAACATTTTACTTTGTGTACAGGAGAGGACTGTTTAAAATCAGCGCAGGAGCTCGCACCTCCTTGCTGGAATGTGATCTACACTAGGTGTGTGTGTGTGTGTCTCCGGCACCCTGATCTTGATCAAGGTGCACAGAACAATGGGGTGGCCTGAGTTGCAGGCCCCCTGTGTGTGTGTGTGATACTAATTTGTATGTTAAACTGGCCTGGTGGTCATCTCAGGTTGTGGGCCCCCGGCCTCTGCAGGACATCCCAAGATAAAGCAGAACTTGGAATATGCTAAATGAGTCTAGGTGTGAGTGTAAAACAGGCCTTTGCTACAATGTAAATAGGCTGTCTGGTCACAAGGAGATGCAGACATCCTGCCTCAACAGAAGTTACAGTAGTCAAAGTAAGCAGATTCTACTTGATTCTCATCAATACAATTGTAAGATATATAAGCAAGGAAAATAAATGTATTAAAATAACCTAAGCTCAGTAGTTCTGGACAATCATCAATACAGCTGTAATATGTATAAACAAGGAAAATAAAGGTATGAAAAGTAACTAAAGCTTATAAAGTAACTAGAGCCTATAAGAATCCAATCTTACCGTATCACCACTGCCATTGATAATAGATATCCCAATATATCCATGGGAAACTATGCTAATGATTTTACTGAGTCCGGTGAGTCTGAGGTTGAAGAGGACCCCTCCGACGGGGAAGAAGACCGTGACCTCCCTACATATTATTGCTAAGGGCTAATACACATCCCACATATATTCTTGCATGCACGTAGGTGGTGTGGACTCATAGGTGTGATTGATTTTGATTATTGAGTAGAATTTTGTGATAAATGTGTGATACTGGAAGATCTTTAGTCTCCAGCATAATGTATTCCTCCTGCAAATGTTATGATTAACCAATGATTGTTTGCTACATGTGGTTTAGACATTTCCACGTTTTTGTCTGAAAAATGCTATAATTGTAATGAAGACTCAGCTTTCACATAGAAGCTTACAAATAGGATCACTGCAACGAAGAACTGCTTACATGCCATTATTTTTATGTTATTATTTCAGATTTTTCCCTAGGTACTCAGTTCCTACATGTGGTTTAGACATTTTCCATGTTGAAAAATGCTACAGTTAGAAATTAGTAAATCAGTCAGATAATTATTAGACAATGTGTTGAATCAAATGTGTTAGTAATGCAATTTAGTAAGATTCAAAGTCTGCTCTAGTCTGCTCTGTTTCAAGGTTAGCAGTAAGCCATGACACCAATTGTTTTCCTGTATTAATCTTGTGTTGGAATACCATGTCTGAATAAATAAGTGAATGTCTTAGCTACATATCATGTGACAGCATACACACACATTGATCTTCCTCATTTTGTTATGACTAGGTAACACGCAGTTGCTCCAAGCCTGTGGAGCTCTAGATAAGAGATGGAGTCTGCTGTATGGACTTCATCTGTGTAAGGGGTTAGCCCAAAACTGATAAATGTATTAGGCTCTGTGTTTCAGGGATCTCCTTTTTCCTGCAGCCAGAGTGTGCATTTCTCTGGAGGAAGGAACAACCTGGGCTGTATTCTGTAATTTTTATTTGTGGTTTTAAAAATAAATCAGCACTAAAATGAAGAAAGACGGACCCCGTCGTTATTCAGATCTGTCCAATTAAAAAACTGGGGTATTACAGTAACCAAAGCTTAGTAGTGGACAATCATCAATACAGCTGTAATATGTATAAGGAAAATAAAGTTATGAAAGGTAACTAAAGTTATGAAAAGTAACTAAAGCTTATAAAGTAACTAGAGCTAATCTTACAGCCTTTGGAGTGATCCTGGCTGGGCGTCCACTTCTATGGAGAGTAACCACAGCACCAAATCGCCTCCATTTATAGACAACACGTCTAACAGTGTAACCCTTTCCAGCTACATGCAAATCAACAAATTGTGATCTTAGGTCTTCTGAGATCTCTTTTTTTTTTTTTAAAAGCATGGCTCACATCACATGAATGCTGCTTGTGAATTGCACATTGACACTGTTTGAGTGAGAGTTTTATAAGTCAAGGTAGCTCTAAAACCACACCTCCATTCTTGTTTCACTGATAGGACTCCAGGTTTGCCAACACCCGACTCCAGTTTACATTTAGTGACATCAGAAGCCCCATGTTGAAATTATTTCTTTTACTATCACTTTGTATGTTTTATGGGTGTGTTCAATAAAGACACAAAAGATCATGACTGTGTTATATCAGCTTATAAATATTGTTTATATTTGTGACTTTGGTGAAGATCAGGTCACATTTCATGACCAATTTATGGAGAAAACCAGGAAAGTGCAAACAGTGCCATTACTTTTTATTGCAACTGTATACAGTATAAAACGAGATACAGTCTGTAAATTGAGTAGCTGAATGTACCATAATGTTACTGTACTACAAATTGGAAGTTAACATAATGCAGTTCTACTTTCTCTCTACAGGCAGTCATCTACAACTTTGGTAGAGCTGTTCAAAACTATGATTTTTGTTGTATTTCTTAAGTTGAAAGATAATGGAAAAGTAATTTCAGCAAGATTTAAACTTTAAAGTGAGGGTTTTTTTCTGTAGACTTCTCATGCATTAGACTTCTCGGCTAACATCCTAGTGCACAATTTTAAGATATGTCTGTGGCTTAAAGCACCATTGTTTTAAGAAGTGCTATTGTACTTAACTACAATCAAAGATAACTTATATAAAAACAATAAACCTACCTAAACCACACCTGCTGTATTAATTACACATGAAATATTATATTGAGCATGTTTGTATAATTAATCACAAATAAGCCTTGGCTACATGAGATCACCAAAAAATAATTACAGTACATGTGCCCATCTGCTGTGCCTGTCTCTTTGTGCAGGTGAATACAAATGCAAAACCCTCAAGGTTTCTGTGCAAAACGGCAAACAAACATGTTTTTACCACGTGCTGATTATTAATTGTTATATTAGTGTGTGTGTGCGCGCATGTGTTCAGCAGATTCTCCAGGTGTGATCTCACACACACATACAGTACATACAAACTGACAATATCTAGAGGTTCATTTTTAGATCGGTCATTCTTGACATTATCAGATTATCTGTGCAGAGATGTGAGGCAATGAGGGTCAAAATTAAATGATTTTAATTCTTGTGGCTTCAGACACAGGTCAGTCAATTAACCACTCAACTGGTCCACATAAATAAATGCACGCACGCACACACACACACACACAGACACACACACGCACACAAACATTTCCACTCCACATATTTAAGCCCCATAATAAAGAAAAAGAAGCGTGTCTTCACTTATGTTCATTTTTACTGATTGATTTCTGCAACATACAGACAATTTGTGTGTGACAGCAGGGGGATGGTATGTGGCTGAATGAGAGTCCCACAGGAGGTGATGAGCATTCAGCAGCAAATCACAATGCTCTCACTCACGCTACTAATGATGATTAGAAGAGAAGGAATAATGGGAGGGCAGGCTCTCTTAAAGGCACAGGTGGGCTTTTTTGAAAATTGAGGCATGTGATGGGGGATAGAGAGAAGGTTATGTGGTGGATAAGCAGAAATGAAGGCTGAGGAAAACAAAACGAGAAATTACAAAAAAGTTAGAGAATGCATTTTCTCAACACATTGATGAGTCTGTTTATGGGTGTATTATGTTGCTTTGAACCACCAAGTTAAGAGATAATTAAGTGAGTGGACATGTTAAAAATTAATGCCTTTTGACAAAGAGGCAGAAACGAGGGTGGAAAACAAAAGACAGAAGGCAGAAGTGGAAATAAGAACGAGGTGAAAGAAGGGAAACAATGGAGACTCTCCTGGTCCAGAGCAGGAGAGTCATCTCTGTTGCATATTTTGCACTGAAAGACCAAGCTGAGAGACAGAAAAAGGAGCCAAAGAGTGTGAAAGATGAATAAAAACTAAAAAGATGTAGAGGTGAAGGGAGTACATAAGAAGAGAAGTAGGGGTTTGAAGGGGGAGCAGGGAGCTTGTGATGCAACAAACAACTGTGTATACAAAAATAACTTTTAAAATACTGTTTACAAAAACAATTAATATTATCATCATCATTAATATTATTACAATCTTATCTGGAGCCTATTGTAGCCACCTGAAAGGGGGCCAGCTGGCAGTCTATGCTTTCCTCTGCCAAAAAATCTTTTAAGCATATAATTCAAACATAAAAAAAACAAAACCCTGAATAATTTACAGTTTGAAGGGAAACACTATGTAGGGGAGAGGAATTAACATCATGCACTGACTTTCTTACATCTTCTGTTAAGAATATTCAAAAGATAGCCAAAAAAGAAATATATACCTAAACTGCTCTGTACAGTTCTTTATCTTTCTTAAAAATTATATACTGTATAGTTATGGTAATGAATGAGAAGTTAGCAGTGAACAGAAAAAATTAGGAGTAGTCCTGGGTCCCTAGCTTCTGTTGTCTCATTGTCTCACACATAGAGAAGCAGGTGAGGTATGATTTGGCTGTCAGATGACAAACAAGTCAGATTTGAAGAGGAACGGTGCAGGTTTTCTATGAATCTGTCAGGTCCCATAAAAGTTTCAGATGGTGTGTAACATTCACAAACACTGAGGTTTATCATGAGTAAAATGGCTGCTATAACAAAAACGTGCTTGGTCATTCATCTTGGGACCTCACCAACCAGATAGAGAATGAGAACAAAAACAAAAGGATAACAACAGAAAAAGAAATAAACAGGTTTTATGAGTCTCAAATAGTAAAGACCAAGAGTAGCCAAAAACCCAATAAGAAGACGCCTGTCATTGGTTGTCTTTTCTGAGAGGCAGACTAAGGCCGGCTCATGGTCCCAGCAGTGAGAGCCAGAGTCACAGTGCTGACAAGTTGGGTCATCACTGATGTGCTTCAATGTTTGTTAACTCTGCTGTGACTGGAAATAGGAACATTTCTGGTGTAGCATTAAAAAGTGGTCTGTTATTTTTAAGCCAGTGGTTCCAACCTGAAAGTCAGGATTCCCAAAGGCAGAGTGAGATGAGATCAATCAGAGACAAAAAGGAAATAAGAGGGAGAATAATAAATCCCGGTACAACTCGTAATTTGAGATCATCAGCATGTTGCATCAACTCAGTTTCAGTTTTCAAGGTCTCAGCTTTACATTCTTTTTTCCAGTCCGTATTCATATTTATCATCAGTCTTCTCATCTAACTCTTCACAAAAACAGCAATAATGATATTTCCAAAAATGCTAAACTATTGCTTTAAAAGCGACAGAGCAGGATTCTGGACAACATGGCAGCTACTGATGACAGCAATGACTAAACTTTGTCAGTCCATGACTCTGGGAAACAGGGAGGTCAGCACAGAAATATAAAGTACCAGAGCTGACATTACTGCAGCTAGCACAGGAACAAATCTTACAGGAAAAACAGGAAGTGAGAAAGAGGTGAATGTTGGTGAGTCAGCTCTAGTCTCAGTGTTTCTATGATTGATCCTTTGTTATGCAGCAACCAGCACACACACATAGGGAGAGCAGATAGAAATACAGAAAAAGAAAGAGAGCACCGTGGCAACCTGCACATAACCAAGAGAAAGGGTTGCATTATGGGCAACAGATTATCAAGGTTCACTTTGAAGATTGTTGTTCATAGTAGGAGGAAACAGACACCTTCTAGGAGTTTAGTTGAAACTCAGGAATCCTCTTTTCTGATTAAAGATAATTCCTGATTTAAGACAAAAAAAATGGACTTTTTCTCATTTGGTATAAAAAGTATTCCGTAAGAAGAACACTCTTTGTAAAGGTCAAATCTATATTTCTCTTCATTTAGCCAGCCAGTTTTCATTTCCAACTATTTCTATTCACCAAAAAAACATGGAAAAACAGGAATTATCCTTTAACCATTAAAAGGGAAGCCAGGTGACTGATCCAAGGTCCAGCATCTAGAAAAGTCGAAACCTTTAAAATTAGCATGTTGAAGAATGTTTGTACTAAAATGGACAAGCCACCTGGATCAGGAAGTGTTCTTCTGATTTGCACAGTGGCACTTTGACTGAGGAAGAGGAGGAAGAAGAGGAGGAGGAGAAGCTCAGCCTTCACCAGCTGTTGGCACAGAGTTACACTTGAAGGTTTCTCTATGTAAAAATGCGCTGTCTGTCTGTCTGTCTGTCTGTGTAGCATCTATCAGCATGGTTTGGACCAGCCAGGTGAGATCGGTATAGTCCATCTAAGAACACTGTTGGTGGACGAGCAGATGGGTAGGTCCATCATGTCCACTCCAGAGGGGGGTCTCGGGGGCCTTTGGGCTGAACGCAGCGGTTACCGAACCCTGAAAGAAGAGGGAATTCTTAGCTTGGTTTGAACTAAATAAAATACATCCAGAAAATTCCTACCAGAAGGAAAGTGTCCCTTCAGTTCTGGTCTGGTCTCGAAACCATCAAACATTTTCTGCATATGTAGCCCAAAGGCATTTTCCCAATAAGCAGAAGCAATGCCACACATAAAAAGGATATTAAAAGAAATCAGGTGTGTCAGCAAAACCTTTTGCAGAGAGACTGAAAAATCATTACTAGTGCCAGTAATACTTGAGGTCCTCCAACAGGGAGGGTCTAGTCAGAGAAACAAAGCCAAGGTTACTGACAAAACCTCTAGAGGAGGGAAGACAGCAGACTTACCCACCCAGGTCTGCTTTGCTGTCTGTTGCTGTAGTGCCAGCAGATGCAGGGTCAGCTGGAGAGGTTTTCTTGACGCAGTCTGACACAAGTGGACACAGGCACAAAGATTAACAGGGTGGAAACACTGTGTGAATATTGGTGGTGTAAGTGCTTAGAAGGTGCTGTGTAATACTGTAGTTTCAGGGATATAAGACAAACTCATTTATTATTTCATTATTGCCATCTGACTTCAGTTTGTACTGAAAATAATAAACTTTGGATCAAAGTTTCTTGCTTACAGGTCATTTAATGACTTGATTTCTCTTTATGTATTAATGTTACACCATTTGCCACTGGCTGATTTAACACATGTAGGCCTCAGGCTCAGATAAACACACTTGTAGGCCATAATTTTATTTATTTTTTTTATATATATGTTGCCCCAAAAACTCCAAACAGCCAGAAGTAAGCAAGAGTCAACTGCCCATGCACAAGATCACTGGATAGTCTTAACAAATATTAGGGTATTTGTGTTTCATAATGAGGAAATACACTGAACAAAATTATAAACGGTACACTTTTGCGATTGCACCCATTTTTCATGAGCTGAACGCAAAGATCTACGACTTGTTCTATGTACACAAAAGTCCTATTTCTCTCAAATATTGTTCACAAACCTGTCTAAATCTGTGTTAGTGAGCACTTCTCCTTTGCCGAGATGATTATTACAGGTGTGCCTTAGGCTGGCCACAATAAAAGGCCACTCTAAAATGTGCAGTTTTACTGTATTGAGGGGGTCCAGGGAGGGTCCGAAAACCAGTCAGTATCTGGTGTGACCACCATTTGCCTCACGCAGTGCAGCACATCTCCTTCGCATAGAGTTGATCAGGTTGTTGATTGTGGCCTGTGGAATGTTGGTCCACTCCTCTTCAATGGCTGTGCGAAGTTGCTGGATATTGGCAGGAACTGGAACACGATGGGCCTCAGGATCTCGTCACAGTATCTCTGTGCATTCAAAATGCCATCAATAAAATGCACCTGTGTTTGTTGTCCATAACATACACCTGCCCATACCATAACCCCACCACCACCATGGGCCATTCGATCCACAACGTTGACATCAGCAAACCGCTCACCCACATGACGCGATACACGCTGTCTGCCATCTGCCCTGTACAGTGAAAACCGGGATTCATCTGTGAAGAGAACACCTCTCCAAAGTGCCAGACGCCATCGAATGTGAGCATTTGCCCACTCAAGTCGGTTACGATGACGAACTGTAGTCAGGTCGAGACCCCATTGAGGACGACGAGCATGCAGATGAGCTTCCCTGAGACGGTTTCTGACAGTTTGCGCAGAAACTCTTTGGTTAAGCAAACTGATCGTTGCAGCATCTGTCCGGGAGACTGGTCTCAGATGATCTTGGAGGTGAAGATGCTGGATGTGCAGGTCCTGGGCTGGTGCGGTTACACATGGTCTGCGGTTGTGAGGCTGGTTGGATGTACTGCCCAGTACTCTGAAATGCCTTTGGAGACGGCTTATGGCATTATCTCGGCAAAGGAGAAGTGCTCACTAACACAAATTTAGACAGATTTGTAAACAATATTTGGGAAAAATAGGCCTTTTGTGTACATATAACAAGTCGTAGATCTTTTTCAGCTCATGAAAAATGGGGGCAAACAAAAATGTTGCGTTTATAATTTTGTTCAGTGTATGTCACTAAGTGGAGCATTGTGTTTTAGTGATGCGTTTTTAATCATTTATGAACAACAATGGAGGTCTATGACAGAGAATTAAGATAATCTAGGTTGGAGACTGACAGACACTTGCAATTTGCATGTATATATTTTATACCATTTAAAGCCTTTCAGCAAATAAAATTAATCCACAGCCCTGTTGTTCTTTTTAAATATGCCTGTTAATTTATATTCATAGCTAGTGAAAAAAAAGATCATTACAGAACTCCAGTCAAACTGTTATTCCCTTTTGATTATTCCCCCTCTGTCATACGCATGCATATATTTGCACTGAAACTACTGAAGCAGTAAATTGGCAGTAACTATCATCACATGATCCTCAGCCTGGATAAGCATATGCACACACTTTTCATTTCAACTCTCTATAGACATATTCTATCTTTGTCCCCCTTTTTGCATCTTTTCTTCTCTCTTTGCTCAGTCTCCCACTGCCCTTTTGACAAATGCTGACATTCTTATCACACCCAGGCTAATTTGTAAAACACTGAAGGTCTGCTTCCTCCGCTACTTTGTAAAACTACTGTGAATGCCACATAAACAAGGACAAACAGTAATCAAAAGCAGGTGTCTACCTCTGCACCTGCCAACCCACACGTAAACAGACAGTTACACTGTTAATATCCGTACCTTTGTGTGAACCACTCCATTCAGCTGAGGCTGATGTTCTCACTTCCAAAGGATCTGACAGAGCAAGAGAATGAATGAAAGTCAATTAAGCAAATAAAAAACAAATGATGACAAAGTATTAAGACATGCACACATTCAGCACAAATAGACACACACACACACACACACACACACACACACACAGAGACAGTCATACATTTCCTTTCAAGCTTACTATGCTCTACAGCACCTTTCCTGATATCACATCATCACTTAACCTTTAACCAAACCCTTCCTTCATCTTTCAGACACCCAGCAAGGAGAACAACCTCCACGTTGAACCTCAAAGGATTATGTTCAGTTGTGCAAGATGTAACAAAAACTGATCTTTCTTTAAAACATAATGAACCGGTGAACACAGGTGAGCTATGATTCTTCACAGATTAATCAAGATTTTAAAGCCTGTCATTTCCTGCTTCCTTTCATTCCTTGTCCAGCATTAATTTTGGTTTATCTGTGCTTCAATTCCTAAATCAAAAGCATTTCAAAGATATTCATAAAAGCACCTCTGCTGCAGGTGTGAAATAGCCAATACTGCCTCCTAGTGTTTTAAGACTGATAGAGCCTCTCACAGAAGCAATGTGTTCATTTTGAACACAAATGTTTTATCTTCCATCATGTGCTCTATTGTGGTTGAATATTTTGATGTTCATGCTGCACAGGAAACAAGAAAACAGCAGAAGACAACCAGGTGGCGGAGTTATTAAAGAGAGTAGCCTGTGAAAAAGGTTCCAGGCCTTACACCTGCCATGTGTCCTTGTGTGTGAGTCCCGAACTGTTCATAAATTGTAAGCTGCCAGATAAACTAGGAACAGAAAATGATGCCCCTCCTATTTCAACTCACATCAGAGGCTACCAGCTGTGTCAACATCCACTGCTGATGTTTCCAAACACAACAAGCATCATCTCCTTCTTCCCATCACTCATTTTCACTGATCCATTCACCTTTAAATGAGGCAACCAGTGACATGTTGGAGCTACAAAATTACACCTGATATGGATCCGGTCACTGACCGAGTGAATCCACAGCACTGCAAACACAACTGTGAATCTTGACCAATGCAAACGCACCTGTGGCCAGTACGAAGGACTCAGGGGTTCTCTCAGGGAGGGGGGGAGGGGAGTCATCGCTGTCCCAGCAGTCTGGGTTAAGGTCAGAGGTTAAATGAGAAGCCATTGTAATTACTGCCCAAGAAGTAATACAAGAGATCAGCAGTCAAATGACAGTGAGACAAAGAAAGTTTGAATACTGAAACACGTGCTTGCTTGATTCCTTTTACCAAGTAAATGAGGTACACAAAGAGACTGAAAACCACTTCATTACAAAAAAGGATTTGACATTAATAAGTCATCTTGTAAGAGAGATTTAAAACAATGTAGACACTTATTTGACTACGTTTTGTTATTTTGTCATGATTTGCCATAGGTTTACTTTAGAAAGCATCTGCTTCTAGAAGAATAATATGTTTACAATACCGTAATTTCCGGACTATAAGCTGCACCCACTAAATGTAAGACGAAAAAACATTTTGTACATAGCCGCAGGTGTCCACGTTGTAACATGAGATATTTTGACAGCCAGATCAATCGCCTGTAACTTGAAGCGGCATCATATGCATTTCGTCATGTGTTGTCCATGATGAGGGTGTGTGCATGAAGCAACAAAAGTAGCGGCTTATAGTCTGGAAAGTACGGTAATAATATGCTTATTTTTCTTGTATTCTAACACAATATATTTATTTTGTATTTAGTGTTAAATATTAACACTAAATACAAAATAAATATATTAAGGGGCAGCACTGTTGCCTCACAGCGAGAAGGTTCCAGGTTCGGGCCCCACCCGGAACCTTTCTGTGTGGAGTTTGCATGTTCTCCCTGTGCTTGCGTGGGTTCTCTCCGGGTACTCCGGCTTCCAGTCCAAAGACATGCAGCTTAGGTTGATTGGTGTCTCTAAATTGCCCATAGGAGTGTGCGTGTGTGTGGTTGTTCGTTTATGTGTTAGCCCTGCGATGGATTGGCGACCTGTCCAGGGTGTACCCTGCCTTCGCCTGATTGCCAGCCGGGATTGGCTCCCGCAACCCCTTTCAGGGACTAAGCGGTAGAAAATGAATGTTAAATATTAGTTGCACGACCTGTTTTTATTTTGTTTTATTCATTATTGATATTCTGAATATATTAATATAGTAAGAATTCATACACTGGCTTGGCAATACTGTAATAGAAAATGATCATTTTAGTAAGGCCCTGTAAAACTGAACATGGACTCATTTGTTATGAGGCTACATTCTGCACTACTTTCATCTTTGAGAGCTGGGCAGCCTTGTTTCACACACTCCTCAAACACTATTAATATACATTTGGCCTTTCTGCAAAGACAGATGGAGTTAAATCACTGACATGCTGCAGACAGTCATGATTATATTTCATGACATTCTCCTGATCTTATCCTCTTCAAACTGAGCCTTGTTTAACAATCTCCATCTTGTCTTTCTATGTTGCTTTGGAAAATTACCCATGGGTCATTACCATTACAATAAGTTCCCGCTGCAGCCTGTTAAACAATGCAAGGAGACATGTAATGAGAACAAGAAGGTCTTGTGGTGAGCTCCAGCTGGTTCAGTACAAACTCAGTAGAACTGGTCTGCCAAAGCTCCACAGATACCCCTGTTAAATCAGGGATTATACCTACATCCCTGATAATAAAAATTCTCTTGCTTCCTATCCCCATATAGTCCAGTAAGGATTGACTGAGACTCTTATGTAATTCAGTGACTGTTTAGTGGTTCCTAAAATACAATTATTTGAGCCTGACAACACTGCTACAATACCTTAAATCTATGGAGCATGACAGTAACTTTTAGTGGTTCTTCTTGATAGAAAACTACCTTAAATCTGTTAAACAGTTCAGATAAGAATAGATTATTTTTAATGCAAGGCCAATATCCAAGTAGATATTTTGTTTTAATGACCTTATTACCAATTATGAGATTAAAAGACTTTCATTGTGGCTACACTCAGATGTACCACTCTCAAGGAAGCTTGATCCCTTAATTAAAACTTCTCCCATTCGTCTAGACTGAAATTTACTCGGGGCCTCTGAAGGGTTGAGATACTGCCTTTGATAAGTTATTATCTTATAATGCAGCCAATATAAAACATTAGCCTTATTCGATAGTAGTGACGATCTATGTCTCTGGGATTTTACTGTTAGTCCTTCACATTAACAGCACAAGTTGTACTGTATTAGTAAGTGATTTTTTTTCCATCTATATTTTAAACAAACTATAGCTGACTTGGTTTTATTTGATCATCACTGTATCATATTTGATGATTTTAAGTGAACACTTTTATACTCTCTTCTACCTCAAACACTACCCCCCATTTTTATGAGCCCATTAGTTATTCCATGTCTCAGGAGCTGCTAAGCACTGTAAATGACTCATCTGAAGCTGGGTGTTTTTCCTACTGGATTTCAGACTGACCTAGGAAAGCACATAAAACAGTCTTGATTAGAATACCATTAGTCTAAATGATGGCCAGAGTTAAATGCTAGTTAATCAAGTTTTGCACCATTTTCAGGAAAAACATTAAGTGACTGTACAGCAGGTTAATGTCCCCCTAATGATGAGTGAAAAAGCCAACAAAGACAACATTATATTTCTGTTCAGCATCTAGTCTGGGGTTGTTAACAATGCAATTACTAATTCCAGCCTCAAAGATAAGTTAAATTAATAATGAGGATTTTCAAGGCAGTTAGCCAATATGGTTCATGTTGCAAGCACAGGCTGCTTAGGACATTTGAATGGCTTGAACGAATGTGACAACTGTGAATTACAAGTGAGTGCATAATATTCAGTTACTGCTAATAATTTTGTGTTTATTATTGAAAGGCTCATTACATTAGTAGCAAAGCATAGTTTATGCTTGGACTGTTTTATATCTAATTAATGTCTCTTTTTATTTTAATCTTATACAGTATAGCATATTTGTAGTGTTTTACACATTTGATTTATTGGTCTCTTATTGTTTTGCTTTTTATAACTCTTCTGTCATTACTTTGCCACTGGACTTGTAAAGGAATCTGAAATGCACTAAATTATATGAACTTTGCAAAATAATTTAAGCAATAGTGCAACCAGCAAACCAAGCAGCCACCAGCTTTCTTTTGACCAGCTACAAAGCAGCAATTCATCAAACTCGTTCGATTCTTGCAACCAGTCGCACGGCAGCTGTTAGCTTTTCATAACCGACTACAAAAGCGCCACCACAGCCCAAACAGATAGTGTGTCAGAAAGCCAAGCAGACCAAAAACAATCCACTTCAGGACTGGGAGGTAAATATTTCTGCAATTACTCCTAAATATTGGTATGAACTGAGGAGAGCATGATGCAAGTTGCCAGACATTTTAATGGCTGCTACAACATTTACATTTTATGTAGCATAAATGAAGAATAACAACGTTAGCCCAAATAATGCATAAAACCCTACATTGTCTATGGATGCTGAGGAATGCAGGTTATGCTAAAATGTTGCCCTCTAGAATTTTAAATAAAATAAAAATTTCACTGAGTTATGAATGTGTGAATTTCTCTGTTTTATCTAACAACACAACCTTTAACAGCTTGAAAACAGGCTGCTGTATTTGTGTACACCTCACACACATATCCCCACTTATATATATTTTCCAAATTATGATGGATTCTATATAAACTGTAAGGCCCCTGGAGGTAAATTTGGGCTACATAAATTAGATTTGACTGTACGTAGCTGTTGACCTGGAGTAAAAGGGCAGTTCAGATAGACCTGACATCCCGTAAAAGTCTTACAAATGTTACTTTCCTGTCACTGACTAAATGTTGTTGTGGAACTTAAAGCCCCTCTAGCTAATTTTCACCCTCAAACTTTTGACCATCAGAGTGTGAGTGAGAATCAAAACAAACTCAGGCGGTAACCCCTCCTCTTCCTTTCGGCTCCTCCTTGTCCCTCCTATCTATTAAACTAGGTCATATGTGGTAACTACAGCCAGAGGCAGACTCAGCAGTCAGGCAGCTCAGCATTCTATACAAACTGTAAGGCCCCTGGAGGTAAATTTGGGCTACATAAATTAGATTTGACTGTACGTAGCTGTTGACCTGGAGTAAAAGGGCAGTTCAGATAGACCTGACATCCCGTAAAAGTCTTACAAATGTTACTTTCCTGTCACTGACTAAATGTTGTTGTGGAACTTAAAGCCCCTCTAGCTAATTTTCACCCTCAAACTTTTGACCATCAGAGTGTGAGTGAGAATCAAAACAAACTCAGGCGGTAACCCCTCCTCTTCCTTTCGGCTCCTCCTTGTCCCTCCTATCTATTAAACTAGGTCATATGTGGTAACTACAGCCAGAGGCAGACTCAGCAGTCAGGCAGCTCAGCATTAATATTAATGTGTACAGGATATAGCCTATAGAGCCTGTGGTTTTCGATGGCATTGCAGCGACAAGGGTCCTTTTTCCTTCCTAAAGCAGTAACACATGCAAATTATAAAAAGGAATGTTTTTTTCCCAGTAATACTGATACAGTACTAATTGTTCTGGTCACTATCACATCAATGTTAATATGGCACTTGACACAGATAATGTTATAAGGTAACCATGAGTTATATGTGAAACGAGAAATTACACATTACACTTTGAACAAACTCCATACTTTTATAGCTGTGTTGATGGCATAAATTTGAACAATGTCTCACTAAAATGCTACATGAACTACTGTGTTGTGTCCGACATAAACAAACCATGTGGCCTGGACTAAAATGGAGCAAAACTTAGAAAATTGAGCAAAATGACTGCATTTGCTAATCCAGGAAAATGTGCTGGTTTCAACTAAGTGGACAACAAAACACTAACAATGTAGTCGGAATGACTGTAAATCACAACCAGAATAATTCAATACAAAGGTACAAAATTGAAATGCTAATGATGCCGACATATACACAATATACCAAAAATTAGAGACACTAACTTCATTTCAAGTCAGTCAACTGATACACATCATGCCTCCTCATGGTTTCATCCAAATATCTACCAATGCAGTTTTTTTTAAACCAGAGCTCATTCAAGATCAAAACTGTCCCAAGCCAAAGTCCACTTCAATCCACTCCATTCCATTTCAGCTGCAATCTCAGCAAAAAACTGATTTCAGAATCTCATGATTTTGAAATCAAAGGTGAAGGGATAATGTTCCCTACAGCCGAGAAGATCAAAACCTCATCACTGCCACCATGACAGTGCAGCCATACTGATGCAGGCACAGCAAACAGTGTTATCCCACCCTATTCAGCCAAACATGCACAAAAGTAGCTAAAGTGTCTTTATCGGTATCATGCAGTGTTGATCCTTCACCATCCAACATGCACACACGGTTCTATGCTGTCACACAAGCGCACTGAAACAAAAACACACTAAACAGAATTTCTTTCATCCCCCATTTGCAAACTCATTCACTTAGACAAACACACACAAGCTGAAAGAGAAAGAAAAGTTGTTTTGACACATGTTGGCCTGTTAACATTTGCAGCATTCCTCACAAACCAACCAATTAGTCATACTGTCAAGTTTTATATGAGACTCACTGGAAAAAAATCCACTCACTCTTTTGGTCCCTCTATGTCACCCTGCTTTTTCTTATTCCTTTGATTCATGTCTCCTGTTTCTCTCTCTCTGCGTCGTGACTTTCCCCATCAGTAAGTTCAGTGTAACACAGAGTGTGCGTTGACAGATAGAGCTTGTCAATAGCATGTGGTCTGTCTGAGACCTGTCTCCTTACTGACCCTGAAATGGCTCTACCACATGATTTCCCTAAGCATAAGCATACAGTATTTAAGTGTGGATAATAAAGACAGGTTGTCATACTTAATCAGTGCCTTTACCTTCAGTGTTCAAAGGAGAACTTAACTAGAGCCCTGAGACATAAGCTAAACTGAACTGTAGTGTTTAGTTAGGTATTAAGTTCAGAAAATTTCTGTATGAAGTTAGCAGGATGTCTATTCATCTGGCTACCTTTATAGATATTTTTGAATCTGACAGGAAAGCACCCAGTTAGTTAAAGGACTTAGATCCACTCATTCAGTTAAAGATGATGATTGACATACTTTCTATGGCTGCAGAAGGTAATGAAGAGCCCTGCCCTGCGATCAACATGGGCAACACCTTCCTGAGTGGCTGCTGGTCTCCATGATGAGGAACTGCAGCTACCATGGTGGTTGCTGTGGATATATTAGTACAATAACCCTCCTTTCCTCCAAACATCTCTCCATCCCCCTCCTCATCTGAATTATCGGAGTGCAGGGGGTTTGTGAAACTCAGGGCAGTCCTAACAGGAGTGGAGGAGGAGGAGAGGTGAGAGGAGGAGGATGAGGATGCAGCGGCGCGTTCCGAGGAAGAAGAAGAAGAGGAGGTCTTTGGGAACTGTTTTTCCAGTGTGTTGCAAGGTTGAGCCCAAGTTGCATGGCCAGCTTTCATCTCCCCTCTCTCCCCTCCCTGTGCTTCCCCCTTCTCTCCACTCTTCACGGGGAGGTGGTTTGGTCTGGCTAGAATGCCTCTGTCTGCATGACTCTCCCCACCTGCTACTCCCTCTGTGCCCGAGTCCTCCGACAGCGAGGAGCTAGATGTCAGCAGGGATTGGCCAGTGCGAGCTTTGAAGGCGTGGGATCTATGTAGCACACTCGTGCTATTTACTGAACTGCTGCCATGCCCACCTGCTACACTAATCGAGGATGAAGTGTCGAAGCTACGAGGTCCTTCCTGCAACGGCACTTTTTTAATCTCAATGCTGAGCTTCCTCTCAATCCGAGGAGCACCAGAACATTCAACAACCGGAGAGGCTGGGGAGCAGGAAGTCTGGGTCTGGCTTTGGCCTGATTCTGATTTTGTTGATGCTGAGGACGATTTGTTGTTGTAGTTGTCGTTCAGATCCAGATTTGAGACCTGGGTTTGTTGTTTTTGACTTTGTAGATCTTTGTCTTTCTGCTCTGATGGACTGGTCTCCTTGTCTGGACTGGGATCAGACTGGTTCTGCTGCTGGTCCATGTCTTTATTCTGAAAGGAAAAAGAAGTTCAGTTACCCTTTTAAAAATGCAGTTTTATCCAGAAACCCCAATAAGTCTCCCAAATATTTTTATTGCTGTGGCATGAAAGAAGACCAAAAACAAAACTTCCTGCGAAATATACATTAACTCAACAAGAATTTGCTCAAAGTGGTTCATTTTATAGTACTCGAAATCTGATCACCGATGAGTGAATGTATTGTGCAAATCAAAGCACAAGTGTCCTGTTATCAAGTTCCACATAAACAATGGGCTTAGACTTAGTCAGGGACTTCTGTCACATGCCATGCCTCTCTTGCTGCATTTCCACTATCAGAACGAGCGGTATAGCCCATACTTCCCTTAACCATCATCAAGAATAGCCTCCGGGGCTGATGCAGACCATCCTGCTTTGTTTTTCGACTGTATTTTCTCTCTGTCAGCCTCTGTTTAGAGGAGGGAGGGGCTGATCCTCTCTCACACATGCAGTCAGCTGTTTGTTTACATAAAGTGCTTGGAATGCTAATGCTTGAGATGTGACAATATGGACATTTAACCAATCACGGGCGGCAACTCTGCACACACGCACAGCCTCCCCCTCGCATTCCTAGTACTTGATTTTAGTACTACCACCTGAGGGATACAAAAATTTAGCTCCCAGAACACACCTCCAAAGCAGGCACACCGTAGTGGAAACAAATGGTGAACCCCTTTTCAGTGTTACTCTGTGTGACACATTTTGGTAGGTGCCTATGATGGAAAACCTATTTCTATGTCCCTCATCTGTTGATGCTCTATACTGTTGTAAAAAGATACTCTCTGCTAAGGTACCAAAAAGAAAAGTAAATAAAAATGTATTTTGTGGCTAGACACAATGGCAGTAAGACCTCCCAACAGGACATCTCCAATAACTACACTATCTTCTCTTCTAACCTCTGCACTTGTCAACCTCTCACATGACTACTGAGGAATATTTTAAGTTACTCTGGATAGGGGTGTCTGTAAAACACAAAACCTACAACAGGCTATACAGGTCCAAAGACGGAAAGACTTGCCATGAACAAAAAAAATCTGAAAACCTCAAAGAAATGAAGATGTGTGCTGCACAGTTACATACATAGACAACAGAGTTAATATACACATATGCAAAAATAACAATTCTGTACTTTTAAGCTGTATTATTCTACTACTGCATATGCCAGCTCACCTCTGTCACATTGTGATGTGTACTAGCCAGGATGTGTATGAGAGGTTTGGGGTGATAGCGGTCATTGTCCTGTCGTACGTTGGTGACAGTGGGGAAAGCTGAGGGGGGAGAGGGGGTCAAAATGGGTGGTACGGGGTGAGGTTCTGGGGGCTGAAGAATCTCCTCCTTCACATCACCCTCTGTGTGGGAACTAGAGAGAAGGAAAAAGAGAGGGAGCTGAGTTGACAGCGGAGCTAAAGCAATACTTTTTGCTGAGTGGGAAAGAGACAGACGTTTAATGTTTTCTAATGAGATGCCATAACTTCAAAATATAGCAAAAGTGCTATAATTAAAACCACAAAACTCATAGAGGGAACCATACATTCACAGAGAAAAATGTATTCATATTTATGCAAACATATTGCAGTTAAATACAAACTGTTTAATGCTAAAGTAAAAACCTGGATCATTTGCATTAATATAAAAACAAACAGGCTTGAAAGAGCCTTAAACAAAATTTTTAAAAACCCTTTTGGTTCAGACGACTTCAAAATGACAAGCAATCATTTCATCATACTGGCCAGACATCTTTCAGACATTTGGACATCCATGTTTAAATGATTATGTATCTAAAAAGCAATAATAAAAAGAATATGATGAAATTAACTCAACTTCATTTCATGAATAAAACAATCAAGGGCAGTTTCCATTTAGTTTCCGCCACTAGATGGCAGAATTTCAAAATGTTTAGCAGTATGCACATAATATGTCTGAGACAAATTAATGGTACTTTAGATTTTCACTGTCATAGCTCTCAATCCATACAGTGTGGATTTAAAGTTATGTTCTGTTGATGTGACATAGACTGAAAACAGACATTGAATCAGCTCTAGAGGGTTTATCCTGTTTCTATTCTATTGTACTGTATTGTTTTCTAAGCAGCAACCTATTGACTACTGGCACTATTGGTCCATGGCAAGAGGTTTAGTGCTTCAATAAAGACAATATTTGACTCTCTTTTCAGCTACCAAAGTATACAAGAAGCCATCTTTAGTTTGTTTTAGAGTGACAGAAGATTATAACAAACATTTTTTAACAAATGCATGCCTTATTTACAATACTGTGTACATTGACAATGTACTAGTAACCTACTTGCAAACACACCTATAGGAACAGGCAGTGTAGGTGTGCATGTCATACAGGATACTGAGGTTGTAACAAAGCTCGCCACACACCAGTGGAAACTTATGTATTAAGATATTGTTCCACTCCACTGAATATACATTTACATTAACACACAAATATATACATACACACAGAAAGAGCCATGAAAGGATGTTGTGGTGTGCTAAATCAAGAGCACATGACTAAACCAAGAGCTAACAAAGGGCTGATTGCACACGATGCTGTGTGTGTGCTTTTATGTGTGTGGATCAAAGACAGAGAAGCTACAAGTTAGAAGCACGGGGATTTCCTTTTCTTGAGCAACTCTGGAGTTGCAGTCATATTGTAACAGGTTCCTCCTAAAGCTTCAACAATGACACATAGCTGCTGGCACTGACTGCCACCCTTCGATGTTGGAGCTGACTACATGCCACATGTATTTTTGTTCATTTATGATTCTGTGTTCTTAATTTCTGAAAGTTTAAATCAAATGTGGCACTAATAATGGAAATCGTGCAGAGATTCACACAGAATCACTCCAAGCAGCTAAGCACACAACACTAGAAAGACAGCTTTTATTACGATTCTCGGTGGGGAGGTCAGAGGTCATGTGCCCCTGCTGAAGTTCAGCTAGTTAAGCAGAGTTGTTCTAACCACCAGAACCTCCAGTTGTCTCATACATGTGACTTATTGGTGATTTCTGGCATAAACATTATTTAAACACCACCACTATGAAAACATTAATTACCCATGTGAATTTCTTCTTCTATATCATCTTCATTGCCCAAGCAAGCAAAAGATATTTTTAACAATAACACTGATAATTCCCTCTGGTGCTGAATGTTTCCATGGGGATATGAATCACTCTGATGCTGCGGAGTTTGTTCAGGGCCCGCATCCCCCAAAGATAAGATAAGGCGAAACTTTAATGACTGCTAAGGGGAAGCTGAGCTGTTACAGAAGCAAACACTAAAATGTCTCAGCAAAACAAATAACCAGCATCAGCGGAAATAATAAAAGTCACAAGCACAAAACGCATCACACAACTACAGCGCTAAGACATGTAAACAGACATTCAAATATTATAAGGGTTTACATGAAGTAGTAGTAGTAGTATTTTCCCTGAAGGGGGGAAATTAATTTTCACTATTACCCTCAAATCACTCTGTTTAACTGTATTTGTGCTATTCGTTAAAGTGGCCGGTGGGTGTGTCCACCAAATATTGATACCAACCTACATCAAATATATTTCAAATCTAAAATGTTTTGACCTACAATTTAAAATGTACATTGGTTAACATTGGGTGATGTAAACATCCAACATCCATCTCTCTGTGAAAACAATAAAAAATATAGTTTGTTTATTGTTTCTTTTATTACTACATTCTTCATTTTCCATCTAGATATTTGAGCTAAATGATGCAAGTGTAGCTTCCACCAAAACACTAGAATTACCTGCCTTATTAAAACAACTTGCCCACATCACATCAAACTAATTTACTATCAAAATCACGTTACATATTTTTAGAGGTGTAAAATGTTTATATTTCTGAGGAACCTGGCTGGATATAGTGCCAAATATTTCTGCAGTCTGAACCACATTTCTCCTTAAAATCTAAGAATCTCTAATAATCGGACTAGTTTGAAACACTTCACACAACCAATTACACAGTACCATTCTTATACTTTTGCCACAGTAACAAAACATAACATGCTGATGGCGACACACCTAAGAGCTAACGTTAAACACACAAATATTATGCACTCATGTACACATGCTCCTACACATAAAGGTACATGTGTGCAAACAGATGCACGCCTTCACAGGAACTTGGAATCTATATAATAACACCACCCACACTCATAAATAACTACACAAACTCAAACACACATGCTTGACAAGCACACTGTGCCCTCCACATACAGTATGTACTCCAGAGGGAAGATGCTGCATTTTTAATCAGAGCGCTTGTTCACTATGCGCCCTCGTACGTTCACCGAAGGCGGGATGTGCTAGAGGGGGACAGAACTTATAGCTGAACTTATAACCTGAACCTGGTTTCAGGTTGTGCAGAGAACAGATTCACACCGATAACCAAGTAAAGTTGTTAACCGCACGCTCAAACCGCACAAATTCAGACCACTGATCACTAATCAAATATGTATTTCTGCCTTATGGAGCTGATTATTATCTATTTGACTGTCTGAAAAAAATAAGATTTAACAACTTTGCGATGTTAACTAACACAATCAAGTTTCAACAAGAAATGTATGCCAATTTCTATAATAGGGCCTCAGGTGCCTCTAGTGAAGACCTGAAGCTCCTCAGCCCAGAATCACACAGAACAACAATCAAAAACATCCCCCAGACCAATCAATACCAGTGATTCAAATTTAGGTCTCGGATGATGCCAACAGAATGTGGACTGTGTTGGTAAAAATAGCTCCAAACATCACTAGGACACTCTCAGGCTTAACCTGGGCCTTGACATTATTTCTGTAGAAAATGACTGATGAAGTGTAGCTAAAATGACACATACTGTAATTTAAGAGCGATACAAGTAGTGAGATACACCAGTACATTCCTGATAGTCTTGCTCTGTCCCACTTCCAGGAAAAGCTTTTGGCAGTATTTCCAGGATCAAACTTGTTTTGCTTAGAACAGGAAATAAACTTTAGTTGACAAATCACTTACAGCCAAATCGCAAAATTAGAACCTCTGAAAAATGTTTGCTTTCCCATGAAACTGACTGGTCCAGGAGACAAATGAAGGAAACCAAGAATATGATACATTTAGTGCAGTAGGACAATGCAACAAGGGACATGCAGTAAATTATTTTTCTGAAATTATGACAGTGCAAAAGTGGACATCAAAAACAAGGAGTGAATACAAATTAACTCAAATGGATAATCACAGAGCTGGTGATGTACACATTAACACACAAAATGCTGTCAAACTGAGCATTTTCAGACAGTGCTTCTAGCATCAAGTAATAAGGTGAAACAGTGTCTCCTGGCAACAAGATGACTCTCAGGCATAAAAGCAACAGTACTGTGGCAACTCCCTGAGCAACGGCATCCATAAGGCATGGTTAAAAAGTTAGTGTAAAGTTTAAGTATTGCTGCATTAACAGGGGAGCCAGGCTGTGCCTTCAGTGGATAAATCATTAGAAGACAGAAATAGGGCCTGAAGATGAACTGGCTGAGGGAAAGTGGAGCACAAGCCCTGCTGGGCACATATAGCAAAATTAAAAATGAGATGAGAGAAAGAAAGGGAACAGAGACAAAAAGATAAGGTGACAAAGGAATGAGAAGGATGAGGTAGTAAATCTGCCAAAAAAAAAAGAATTATAGAGAAAAACAGAGGGTTTCTACAGTATGTGTCTTTGCACATAGAGTATGTCAGATTCAGAATGTGTATGAGCTCGAAACCACATGCCTGCATGTGTGTTAAAAAATTTATTTATCCTCACAATGGGGGTGGAGGTGGATAAAGCAGTTTTACTTCAAATAGCGGAGAGCTGTGGTGCGTTCGACACCGTCACGTTGCAGAGTATTTTGATTTGATTTTACTTATTTATTCTTTCAAGTATGTAAAGACAGTTGATATGTCAACACACATACGGTAATTTTACACATATCCAACAAATGCTAATCCAATATCAATTTGCTTATACCTAGTACATGCTTGAATGGAGTAGGAAGAAGTCAGACTTATCCAGTCCTACCCCATGACATCATCTTACCATCATTGGTTTGCAAGCAGTAATTAATTCTCTTCTACACCACACAAGTAATATACAAAAGAATTATTACAGAGTGTTAACATTCATACACCACACCCACAATGTTCCATCTAAGTATTGCTAACTGTTGCAAAATGATCTATAAATACAGCTCCTCCTCAGGCCACAACAGTTGTCAGCAGCCAGCCAAACAGAAGTTAACTTCAGTGAAAGATGCATCTGTCGTGTCAGAAAGTTACAGCTGACTGAGGTGAAAGCAATGCCTGCTGTTTCTGTGTGGTCAGTTTAATACATTTTCCTTGTGTGCATCACAAACATTTTTTGTGTGTTCCTCCTACAAAACAAAACACCCACTGTGTTCAGTGATGGGTCACGTCACACCCACAGCTCACTTCTATGTGAGTCTGTTCATTCATCTGTGTGGGGGATGAGTGCGGGTCAGTTTATTCTTCAATAACACCCTTTTTCAAGTGACTGAGTCAAATAACTTCAAGAAAGCAGATATGAACAGGCTTGAACCCTGAAAAGAGTCTTACGTGCGTATGCGGGGAGGTTTGGGCGGTGGTGTGTCCCATCTCTCATCATCTGACTGGTTGCTTGCTTTCTCTGGGCTGCTTTCATCCTGGACAGACAAGCAAGGGTTTTACATGTTTATTAAAGAAGTATCACATTTGTCTTTAGTCCATGTAATGTAAAATATTTTTTATCTGCAACTGGTCAGAGAACTCTTGTACTTTTTATTCCGCAACATTTGTCTGACAGCTGGAGCTACGAATGACTTTGCAGATTAAGATTTACATACAGAACACATCATCAATTTATGAACAGGTACAGGTTAAACCTGCCCAACGGCAGTACAATAGTTCCAGTAAGTTCCACCTCAACCAGCTACAACACTAAAATGCTGCTATAGCTTTATGCATCAGATAATAATACAATAAAATAACTAGAGCAATAATGGGATATTATTACTTTTGCTTAAGTACAGGCTCCGAGTTTTCTACCAAGGATATTCTGTGTTTACTTATTGGGGTCTGGAACTTTTTATTCTGCTCTCACGTGATCTAGAACTCATTTCCATCTAGCACTAACATCTTACAAGAACACAACTGAACTGCAGTAGGTGTACTGGTATTTTCAGTCTGACAGCATTCCACCTGGCCAGTAGAGTAGATTCAGATTCAGATTCCAGATGCAATGTTTTGCATGTAATGGCATTTATTCTTTGTATGCATATATAACACAGAAAAACAAATGTCTTGCTAGCTGAATTTATCTAAAGGTCAAATCAGATTACTTCTGCTGCTCAGTGTTACTGTAGGTTTTATAATTGCTGTTGAAATGTAAAGCAGCTCCATCTATGACTACTTTCTACTCTCTCTACTCTCGTAGATGTTTCAGCAGCAGAGACGGAGTTGCTACAATATTGCTTCACTGAGGGGTCAAAACTGTCCTGCTCCCAACTAGCGTTCTCTCGCTTCCTCTTAGCTCTCGTTATCCCCCGTGACTCATTAATTTGAGTCTGTCTCCACTCTGATAATGAAAAGACAACAGGACAACTTCAGGCCCCATAAACTCAAGACAGAGGGGTGAATGAGGTCACTGCAGCTCCGTGTGTGTCTGTACGAGCGCTAAATTCTGCTGTGGAACTAACTTAAACAGATCCAGCTGAAGATAGATCACATCTTGTTTGGCTGTATTGTGAGAATTAATTTGGTAGGAATACTTCCTGCAAACAATGGTGAATGCGTGTGAGGACAGAAACATGTGTGGGATGTGTATATGTGTAGGTTTATTGTTCATACTGCCCTTGAAAGCACCTATGTGGGTGTTTTAGTCAAAAACAATGACTGACTGGACATGAGTCAGTGTGTGTAAAGACTGAGTCAGGACCGCAAACTGATAATATATATCAAACCAAGAGTGTCTGCAACTTTGTACACAAGGTTATAATCAGTAGTAACAAACTTTTTCTGGTGTTGCTGTCTTAATCCATATATGCCACACCTACTCTTAAAAAATAATCAGTGGTGTAAGCTTTAAAAGGAAGTAGTATAAACTCGAGTGGTACAGAACAGTCCAGTACTGTCAACTGTCCCAATTTAACAGATGCTGAAAGGTAACTTAAGTAACAGTTCACAAAGTGTCCGCTGAGTCTTTTCTAATGTAAACATGGGAGTTCTGTTTTCATAGGACTCTCTCTTGTGAGGGTCCCCCTTTCTCAATGGATGTGTGTCTATTCTCAGACTCAAAGGGCATTATGGGAAAGTAGCAATGTGGGAAAGTAGCAATGTCATCAGAGCTTCCTATGTAGGAAGTCAACCCCTGGATTTCTGCCAGTGCACTCTCTCATCTGTGTGTCTTCAGTCCGTACAGCTGTCGATTTTAGCTACATAACAATGCTGGGGAGAGGTTGACACTACTAGTTTAACTACATTTCGCAGTAGCAATCAGATAGATGAGCTATTTTAGAATTACTGTAGTGGGTATAGTAAGTAGGTCTGTTTTCTATTACGTAGCGAGGTGGTGAGCCCTACCATTACATCATATAACATGACTAAACTAAAGGAAATGCTGCTCTGCCACATACACAGATTTTGCATCGCCCCATCTTCTGATTCAATCAAGAAGACTGACAGCTGACCTCAGCCCTGCTCTCACTCTCTGATCCGTTCTGTCAAGAAAATCACTTACTAGTAAGACAATCATAGATTCCCCAAATCTGCTACAGAATGACATGGGATGATGGAAAGGAGCTGTGGTTCATGTTTTGTCATTAGCATTATTTCAACACCAGACTGGATTCCAAAAACCTTAATAATTTAATTAACTGGCAAAAGAAGCTCTAAATAGAAAGCTAAGATAAGCCTCTGAAGACAAAATAAATTCTGCTCCTTTGATTTTCTTAATATATTTGTCATATAAGTAAATGTTTAGGCTAGGTCGTCCTTCTAGTGCAATGGGAGAAGTAACACGGACATTTAAGGACACTTGGTATGTGGTATGTGTGTTTGCTGATGTGAGTGATTGGGGGTAATGCAGCCTAGTGTGAAAATTAGAATGAGGACACCGCTGACTGACAGAGCTAAGCTTTTTTGTAGCTCTTTTAAATTGGTCTCACTGCATAGTCCTCTGAGACTACTTTGTAGAGGGGTGATATCTTTCTTTAAGGCACAAACTCTGCAACTTTCCTTTTTCTTTCTGTGTAGAGAGCAAAGTTTTCTGAAGACCTCACCACCATCTTCTCTATTCCTTCTACCCTCTCCCTCCCCTGTGACTAATTATTTGTGGGGGTTTTTCACTCCAAATGTGTTACTCTGACATCCTGTCTTTCTTTAACAGCAGACAGAATGCACAATAAATGTGTATGTGTGTGTCCCATACCATGCCATCATGTATCTGCGCATTTGTGGAGCTCTCCAGTATTTGCAGTTGTTTCTGAAAGAGCTGAGCGATTGCTCTATGAACTAACTCGTACTGCTCCTAGAGCGAGAAAAAGAACGAGACAAAGAGAGAGAAAGACATATTAAAGCAGGGGAGAGCAAAAAGTGTTGCAAAAATCCAATAAAGGGAAGTGAGGTGAGGGTGATAGGAGAAGAGAGAGAAAAAAAAAACACAAAAATGGTTTAAGCAAATCAATACATAAACAACAACAACAAACATTCTCCTTATCTATACTCATAAACATCCACTTACACTGATCAGGCATAACATTATGACCACTGACAGGTGAAGTGAATAACACTGACTACCTGTTACAGTGGCACCTGTCAGTGTGTGGGGTATATTAGGCAGCAAGTGAACATTCAGTCCTCAAAGTTGATGTGTTGGAAGCAGGAAAAACAGGCAAGTGTAAGGATCTGAGTGACTTTGACAAGGGCCAAACTATGATGGTGAGATGACTGGGTCAGAGCATCTCCCACACTGCAGGTGTTGGTGGGTGTTCTTGGTCTGCAGTGGTTACCAACAGTGTCTCTTTAAGTGTAAATGGTGAACTGGTGACAAGGACGCCCATGGCTCACTGATGATGAGGTTGACCTACTGTAGATTAAACTTTTAACTTCAATTTGTACTTTTCAAAAGACTAAAATTAATTTTATACTTTGTTAAAATGGTTGAAAATGAGAAATACTGTACATTGGTCTCTATGAAGAAAAAGAGTCAGGGGCTGTAGTGGTGATATCACACCTAGAGTGGTGAGTTTGTCTAAAAAAATTCTCTCTAACTCGTCCTCACGACCACAGTTTTCACTCCTTTTACATAGGTTTTTAACTGAATTGTAGACACATCTGTGCTTTTTCTCAGAGTAGAACTGTGGAAGCAAATGGATTCACAGAAGATGCACAGTGAGCTGCAGAGTGACACGAGTGCCAACCTACTGCCACACTGACTCCTATGTAAATGGTATTATGCAGGTGGTCATAATGTTATGGCTGATCGGTGTACAAGGCTATGAAATACATAAATAAGTCCATTCTTATCTAACTTAACTAACAGTGTTGATTTTCCCTCTCAGTGTCAGGAAATGTTTGTGAGAGGGGAAATCACATAAAATGTACAATACAGAAGTCGACACTTGATGTTGTGATAAGGCGAGACACATAGTATTTCAAATGTGTCTTCACAAGTTATGTCCATCAGAGAATCCCGTGCAGGAAAGGCCACAAGAAATAGCCTGTGCAAACCCAGCCAGGTCAAAACTGTGGCAAAACAACCTCAACCAGTTAAATATAATCCTAGGAATGTGTAGGGTGGAAAGGTGCTTTTTTTAAACCAGGTGATGCACTCACCTTCATGAGGAGCCTTGTGGCAGGCTACATAAAGGAGAAAATGCCACTAATCTTTACAGCAGAATCACTGTCACATAACGAAATTCTGAATAATGTAAATGTATTACATGAAAAACGCTAAAATAGCAGCATGTTAGTAATGAGTATTTTCTTCACAATTTTCCAAATACTGCTGAGTAACATCAGAAATGCTGGGAGTGACTTAGGTACAGATTTCAACAAATTCAGACCTTTTAATAAGCTAAAAATGATTTTTGTGAAATTATCTTCATGTGTACAGACCCATAAATGTTGTTATAGATTTATTACTTCTTTAATCCATTTAACTCATTTTTAAAACCAGGTATAAGGATAGTTTTGCAAAAAAGTTTTTAATAAAATAAATTCACAACCTCATGGGGCAGTAGTTTTCATACAAAAAGAAAGGGTGTTGTTTTTAACCACTGGTCTAGAGAACAGCTGGTGGAAATCTATTAATTTGACAACCAGATAAATATCGCACAATACTGACCTCAGACCCCACATTTCTTGTGTGTGGGGAAAGAAAAATCTGGCTGCAGCAACACTTTTAATTAGCTTTGTGCTACCTTTGTACTCAGACTTCTATATTTTCTGCATTACTCCACCAGTGTTGTACTGAATGCACTATACCATTCTATGTTTAGAAGAAAAAAACTCTAAAAACAAACCTTGGTCTGAACAGCAGAGTGTCGCTGTGTCCTCATGTCTTTAATCAACTGAAAAACTTTAAAATCTTCTGGAATTTTCTTTTAAAGGACACAAAAACAAAAGGGTTACTCATAACACCACATTTAGATGTGTAGAAAGTGTATATTTGTACAGGTACATCTGATGTGTGTAGGAGTGAGAGTTCACATACCCCAGCTTTGAGGAGATTCCATGTGTAGTCGATAGCACAGATAGCACCTGTCCTCCCACAGCCTGCACTGTACAGCCACAGACAAACAGATCATTTTTAACAGAAGCAAGTGTGTAGAGACCCAGATACACACGCTCAAGCTTACGCCTTGTCATCACAAACAAAATCCATTAAAAGCACACTCCTCGCAAGTATCAACTCTGGATTTATATACTTGAGCAGCCAAGTGGACACAAAAAGAGAGAAAGTACAGACAAATTAGTCACATTTGTTTGTATTAATGTAGCAATACCTCGACCAGCCACACAGAAGCTCAGATTATGTGACGTCATGTCTGACACATCAAATCATTGTCTTGTTGTCAAAGAGCACTCTGATGCTCTAACAAGCGCACACATACAGTACACATCAAGCTACACAAAGTATCTTTACAGACACAGCGACACAGCTTTGAGTCCAGCTGTGCAACAGAGAAGCAGGAAATGTCCTCTGGCTGCTCGTCAGAGCTGATTACACACACATGGAGACTGTCTGTGTGGCATGTATATGCCCACGCATGTGTGCAACAGAAGACCCGAATCTATAGCCTCATTAACCTGTGCGTTTTTGTTTTCATTTTTGCCAACTATTTCACCATGTGAGGTTCTTTATTGGTAGAAATGGTCTTTGAGTCTGTTTTGTCATAAATTTATCACCGCACAGACAAATATCACTTAAATTCTCAGGCTAGGGCATTCAAACCAATCACTGTAGCTGTAATAAGAGCAGTACATAGCCTACTGTATGAACACAGTATGTGTGTTATTAAAGCCCTAAATTTGAACAATATTGCCCCACACTGACACATACAAGCGTTAAACTACAGTTTATGATCAGTAGTTCTTGTACACCCTGCAAACAATTCTGTTACTCCTTCCACATTCAGCTGTTGTGTTGTAGCCTTTCATTGTCAAGACGGTGGCATTTTAACAGAAACAATCAGATGAATATAGGCTGATGCAAGAGTCAAGCTGGGCTCATCCAAATTGACAGCTAAGCTGTTACTTATCCTTTGGTTAATCAGCTTCCAATTCAAAGACTAGAAAAATGCATTTCCTGAAGAAAATGCGAATGGATGCAACCTTGGTAATGCATTGCTCTGAAAATGACTGAAATCAGTAGCCAAAACGGCAGAAGGATGAGAAGAATTGGCTGAAGTTCTTTTTTGAATTATCTGAAGGATGAGAGGACATATATACAAGCAGGA